CTTAATGGATACAGAGTTTCAGTTTTACACAATGAAATGAGTTTTGGAGATGGACGGTGGTGATAGTTGCACAAAATTATGAATGTATTTAATATCATTGAACTGTATGCTTAAAAATGGTTACGGTGGTAAATTTTATATGTATTTTGCCACAATAAAAAATTGGGAAAAAAAAAAACAGGCTTATCACAAGAAAAAAAAATTACAAAAAGTAAAGTGGAAGTAAATTTCTTCTTAGCAGTTTGCCCCATTATCTTCCTGCTCTATGTGTCACCTCCCTAAACTCCAACTCTCACTTTCTAGGGAAAGCTGCTTTAAAGTCTGTACACACGTAATGAAATGTTCTGTACATAAACCACATCTGGCTGTGTTTCTCTGTGTTCATTTTTGCCTCTCTCTCTTTGCCTGGATAAGATCATACTGCATAAACTCTCCTCTAATGGCCTTTTTCCTATCTAAAATATGTATTTTGAAGAGTTTTCCTTATTAGCCTGTATATACCTAATTTTAAAAAACTGAATGGTGTGTGATTAGATGTCTATATCTCCCATTGATAGAAATGTAGGGTATTTCCATTTGTTTTTACAAATGATACTGCAGTGAGCATCTTTGAGTATAAATCTGTGGCTACTTGTGAGTGAGTTTATCTCTTAGATAAATTAGGTGGAATTGTGAGCCAAAAGTTATGTGTATTTTACATTTTGATAGATATTGACCAATAGCCCTCCAAAAGTTGAACTAATTATCTCCCTATAAACTACACAGTATAGGAAAATGCCTGTTTTCCCAACACCTTCAACACTTAGCATTATAAAATTTCTACTTATAGCCATGTAGTAGATGAAAATCTTGAAAATATTTTAATTTACATATAGTCAATTCTGAATGAGGTTAAGCATAGATTTTATATGACTATTCACTGTTTGTATTTATTTACAATGCACTGTTTATTCATTTCCATGCTCAATTTTAACGGTGTTTACTTTGAAGAAAAAAATAGCTATATGGAAAAGCCCTGAATTACATGTAATTCCTTCTTTATACACCTTTTCTGCTATAATTTGAAAGTTAGCTTTGGTCAATTTTTTCACTGTCACTGTTTCTTTCCTCTGCCTCCTCCCTCTCCTCCCTTCCTCCCTTCCTCCTTTCCTTTCTTCCTTCCTTCCTTGACAAGGTCTTCCTATATTGCCCAGGCTGCAGTGCAGTGGCTATTCACAGGTGTGATCCTAGTGCACTACAGCTTTGAACTCCTGGGCTCCTGTCTCAGCCTCCTTAGCAGCTGGAAGTACAGGTGCATGCCACTGCACCCAGTGCCTTGTTTCTTTTATGATAATCATTTCTCTTTTAACCAGATTCTCCACACCTTGACAGGAATTAGGGTGAGGAAGACTAATAGTACTGCCAAAAGACCCGATGGTCTTGTTTTAGAGATAATTTTTGTCATAACATTGCTTAGCATATTATGCTTTATAATCATCTTGTCAGTAACTGTGTGTCCTTGGTATTTATCTTGTTTCTCAGTCGTTTCTACTATAGAAATAATCATAATTTCAAGAATAACAAAATGTCTGATTCCCTGTTTTCAGGATACTTTCATATACTAACAGACCAAAGTGACTGGACTTGGCCAATTCAGTTCAATGAATCCTATTGAAAAATGAACCTGGTTTACCTGAGGGCTAACTATTCAGGAAAAAATCTTTATCATGAAGACTTTTTAGTTTAATTTCCAAACAGGAAATTTATTCACAAGTGTATTAGGTTCTCCAGAGAAGCAAAACCAGTAGTACACACACACACACACACACACACACACACACACGGGGATTTATCACGGGAACTGAGTTCATCATTATGGAGGCTGAGAAGTCCCAGGAAGAGCCATCTGCAAGCTGAAGAACCAGGACAGCCAGTGGTGCAATTCAGTCCAATTCCGATGTCCTGAGAACCAGGGGAGCCAATGAAGTATCTATCAGCTGAAGGTATGAGAACATGTGTGTGTGTGTGTGTGTGTGTGTGTGTGTGTGTGTGTGCGTGCGCGCGCGCTGGGGGGTGCAAGTCCTGGAGTCCAAAGGCCCAAGAACCAAGAGCTTTGATGGCCGAAAACAGGAGAAGATGGATGTTCAGACTCAAGAGTAGAAAAATTCATTCTTTGTCCACCTTTCCGTTTTATCTTGGCACTCAATAGACTGGATGATGTCCACTCACATAGGTGAGGCTGGATCATCTTTACTCAGTCTACTGATTCAAATGTGAATCTCTTCTGGAAACACCCTCACAGACACACCCAGAAATCATGTCTTAAACTATCTGGGCATCCATTAGCCCAGCCAGGTTGACACATAAAATTAACCATCACGACATGGCTCAAAAGTCAAGAAGTATAAAGAAAACAAAGTGAAAATTTTTTTTTTTTTCTCATCCCCATCCATTATCTTCCAGTTTCCCCACCCTATCCTCATGGAGTTTGTAGTATAGTGAACAGGTAGACAACCAAGAAATTATAATAAGGTACATTCAGTCTTCTCATTATCAGTAATTTTTTATTAGGTTTCTAGGTTCTGTGAGGAGGGTGTTACAGAATGCTGAGCTGGGAAGCTTCAATCATCAGATTTTAATATTTGTCAGTGAAGGGTTTAAAAAGATGGAGAAAAACTGAGTTAAAGGAATGAACTGCCACAGACAAAAATAAAATGGTCCCTTGGCCTACTTCTTGGAATCTCTATTGCAATAATTGCTATGTGTGTGGCAACTTCCTGGAGGTTACTTATATAAAAATGTATCCTGAAGTAATTCAAATGTGTCATGCTAATGCTCTGTCCACTTCTTACTAAAATGTATGGGTTAAAATTAACAATAATACTTCTGTCTGGGTACTGAATCTAAGTAGAAATTACTCATTTCTAAGTTGTAATGTATTGTATATAAATGTAACATTGTTATAATACAATTATATGTACACAATGGAAAAATGTAATATATTGTGTATATGTACAAATGTACATTTGTTGTGCAATATTGTGCAATATAATTGTAATATTTTCAAGTCCTATATGAATAAAGCTGTTATTTGCATGACTGTGTCCTATGAATAGTTATGGAAATGAATAAATAAGCTTTTTAGAAACAGTTTCCAGAGCCATAAACACTTAAATATTTGTGCCTGAATTTTCTCATCAATTCTTTAGGTGTTTACCCCTAAACAAAAGAATCTGTCTTTGTTTTTCATGAAATCATTTTTCTGTTTTGGCATACATTTCTTTTTCATTTTAAAGTCTGCAATCTTTATTATATAACCTGCAGGCTATATGTGTGAGGTAATCCACTCCCCCCTCTGTTGGAGGGGGAATGTTTTCCTGTGTCACTCTATAATTTGTTTTGCAACAATTATTGCTATTTGTAATCATATCTTGTAATCACAAGAGATATATAGCTGAATTTAGAATCTGTTGAGAACACAGAAGGCAGCAGCAGTGTTTCTAAATGTCACTGACTTAATTATTTTAACTCATAAAATTTTTAAAGGTTCAAATGCATCAACCCAAATCATCCATTTCTGAAATGTATTTTAGATAAATCCCTTGAAGTGTTCTTTTGTTGCAAATGGGTGTCATTATGCATTAGTTTCTTTCTCCAAATCCCTGCAATCCCCTAATCTAATTTCCAATAAGACCATCTATCAGACAACTTATCTCTAGTTCCTGTGTTTTAAAATTACAGAAGCTAAATGTTGTGTTCCAGATTGTTTAGGGAGTCATACCTAGAAGCATTTGGTGCCTTACACTTCTTTCTATTCTTTCGATTAAGAAAACATAAATGTGTACATAACTGGTGTATTTTCCAATTATTTTGGTGAACTTTACAAATGCATTTTAACCCTTTTGTGGGGACCTATTTTTCCTTTTTAAAAGTACCAGCCATTCAACTTTGAATAACAGACAATGGAGCATTATTTTTTTTGAAAAATAAATTATCTTAGGTAAGAGTTTTAGCGTTTGTATATATTAATCATTTATTTTCCCTGTACTGCTTAAAATGTATTCTTAAATTTGTATGTTGGGCAAGGCGTGGTGGCTCACACCTGTAATCCCAGCACTTTGGGAGGCCGAGGCAGGTGGATCACAACGTCAGGAGTTTGAGACCAGCCTGGCCAATATGGTGAAACCCCATCTCTACTAAAAATACAAATCAAAATATTAGCCAGGTGTAGTGGCACATGCCTGTAGTCCCAGCTACTCGAGAGGCCGAGGCAGGAGAATCGCTTGAACCCAGGAGGTGGAGGTTGCAGTGAGTTGAGATCGCACCACTGCACTCCAGCCTGGGTGACAGAGTGAGACTCCATCTCAAAAAAAAAATATATATATATATATATATATATGTATATATATACACACGTGTGTGTGTGTGTATATATACATGTGTATATACACACATATATATAATAGGTTTAGGTTATGAGATAGAAGATAAAGGAGGAAAAGCAACATAGGACGTATTTTATTCCTATTGAAATGTTGTTTTTATTTTCCTTAAAAAGGGATAAAGTGGGATATTAGTGCCAATTTTGGCAGATGAGTAGTCTGGTGACAAATAACACAGTAATAAATCGATGGCCCCCTTATACCTCCACTGGTAACTAAAGTTTACATTTGGTAAAGAAGATAGAAGCCTTTGCAGCTGCCTTAAATTATTCTATGGAAACAAGTGGTGCATATATGTGTGTGTGTGTATTGTTTTTTTGAGACAAAGTCTCACTCTGTCACCCAGGCTGGACTGCAGTGGTGCGATCTCAGCTCACGTCAACCTCCACCTCCTGGGTTCAAGCGATTCTCCTGCCTCAGCCTCCTGAGTAGCTGGGATTACAGGCGTGTGCCACCATGCCCAGCTAATTTTTGTATTTTTTGGTAGAGACGAGGTTTCACCATGTTAGCCAGGCTGGTCTCAAACTCCTGACCTCAGGTGATCCACCCACTGTGGTCTCCCAAAGTGCTGGGATTACAGGCTTCAGCCACCGTGTGCAGCCATAAATATATATGTCTTACCGTGTGCAGCCATAAATATATATGTCTTACCTTGAGTTGTTTTCATGACTTACTCACACGGTGGAGACTGAAAGAAATTGCTCGGTAGGTCAATTCCTTTAGGTCACTGAGTCCCGACAGAAATAGTCCACAAATTCCCCTGGTTTAGAGGCAATGATTTCTAATTCCTAGCTCCCCACTTGGTCCACAGTATGCTCATCTGGAAAACATTTAGTCAGTTCTGAGGAGATTCTAAAAAGAGGCAACCCTTGGTCAACTGTCTGCCTTTCATAAAAGGTCAATCAAATACATGACCAACAAAGACATACATTTCTGAGCCATATGGAAAAAATAATTGACTTAATGGGACCCTGATCACTTAAAAGAATAGATGCATCTCTTAAAAAGAAAAGTGTATTCTCTCATCGGTTCCAATATTTTCATAATATTTAAGGCTCTCAAATGCTAAATAAAAATATTAAAACATTTGAGTGAAATGTGGCACTGTTTCTGATTTTCTATAAGGTTATGATAAATTTACTTTACAAAATTTAACTTTAAATGATCATGTTATGTTAAGCAGAATTAATGAAAATAAATGTTACCATCTAAATAATAAATATTTCCTAATTGAGTAGCTAAGGTAAAAATAATGCTAAATTATCTAGTTTTTAATTAGTAATTATTCAACAGAAGATTTCTCCCTGCTAATTATCTTTCAAGATTCAGGTGAAAAGATACTAAGATCTTTTAACAAAACCATTCATTTAAGTCCATTATCAAACTATAGTACCTTAACATTTTATGGTATGAGATTCTCACAGCCAAAATCATTGGCTTGTTTTCCTGGGTAATATTTCAAACCCCTGTGAAAAATGAATAGTTGCTTAGAAAAGAGGGCTAATTAAGTCATAGTGTCATTTATGGCATTGCCCAAAACTGTCACTCTGCTCATATATTTTCCTTTCTTTCAACTTACAGCCCTCACTATTTTTTGATAACTGGAAGTTTTCTGAATTTCGCATCTTGAATACCTCACTGTTGTTCTTTATCTGCCCACCAAAGAAACAATCATGTTGAAACTGCATTTTTTAATATGCAAAAGCCACCACATTTGTCTAAAACTTACATTCTGTAATATGTAAAGAAACAATAGTATGCAAACTACAGTTTTATCCTTGCAATCAATATGAATGTATTACACTATAAATTGTTTATGGCCTACACTTCTGGCCTTAATTAGCCATCTCAAAACGTCACGCTGTAGGTCAAATGGGGTCATAAGAAACATAAGTGGCTTACCTCAAACCAACATCACTATTAGAAAGTAACTTAAAACACATGCTTTATTGGTATTCTAGATTTAACATCATCTTCTTAGGAAAGATAACCTGGGGTTCCAGAATTATTAATTTTTTTAGCAACCTGTCAGAATCAAATTCTATGCAAATTAAATAAGAAACCAAATTGGAGTTTCACTAAATAGAACCTACAGAATTTGCTTGTTGTTAATGCTGGTGGATTTCTTTGAAACCTTAGACTAGTTAGATACTAAATAGCTAGTCAGAGTGGAGACATTGCTAGAGATTATACTAGACAGCTGTTGACTGAGATTTCACAGGGCAGTTTTAGACCTTGTTTATTTGTATCTCCAGTAGTTAGCCCAGGAGTTTTACTCCAAGTGCTTGTTAAATAATATAATGCATATTAAATTAATACCTTAAAAAGACAACCTCACTCTAGAAAAACAAAAGACAACCTCAAAATTCTATAAATTTAGTAATAATACTAGTTGATCACTCAGAGCACGTAACTCACCTTATGAAGAGGGGCTTTCAGAGTTGTGTTCAATTTTGTCACTTTCAGATGAAAATAAAAGTGAACACTGGAAGAACATCTGTAAAATTACAACCAAAGACAACCATATTGTAGTTCATCATTCATTCCCTACATTAGATTGTGCTTGATATTTCTTCAAAAATTCAATGTTAGTAAAAAGTTTGATTGTCCTAGTGAATTTAAGGATATTAAAACTCTATAACCTATTGTTCCTTTCCTTTCTTAGCTTCCCAGGAAGATTTGGGGCTAAAGTCAATGCCTGATTATATTTTCTATATTAGGTTGGGTGTTTTTGTGGTTACCATTTCCTTTTTCCAATGTTTCCCTTTTTATAGTTTAATCCTTTTTAGAAATGTGTGCTGTACATTATGAATTAGTGGCAGTTTTTTATTCTTAATCCTCATTTTTCAATTGTTTTTGAGCTTTCAGAACACATTGTTCGCTACTTCTTGATTTTTTTTTTTTTTTTTTTTTTAGACAGAGTTTTGCTCTCTTGTCCAGGCTGGACTGCAGTGGCACAATCTCGGCTCACTGCAGCCTCCATCTCCCGAGTTCAATCAATTCTTGTGCCTCAGCCTCCCAAGTACCTGGGATTATAGTTGTGCACCACCACGCCCAGCTAATTTTTGTATTTTTAGTAGAGGCAGGGTTTTTCCATGTTGCCCAGGCTGATCTTGAACTCCTGGTCTCAAGTGATCCAACTGCCTCGGCCTTTCAAAGTGCTGGCATTACTGGCGTGGTTGAAACTCTCTCTTCCTTGCCTTTCACTATATTCTTTCGGTCAACAAATATTTATTGAATACTTAATAGTTGTCAGGCACTGTTGTGATTTCTCTCCCAACTCAACGATCCTGTTCCTCATCCCATTCACTCTCACTTCTGCCCCGTAAATGGTGCAGGTCCACCAAGGTTCTGTCATTTATTTTATGATGTTCTCAATTCTGCACTCTGCCTTGATTTAGGAACACAATCCCTTACTTGAAACTTTTGAAGCCACATATGCTTCAAAATTCTGAATTTTTGGATTTTAGCAAAGTCATAGGTTGTAACAACCATGTATTTTGTAACACTTTACATAGAGAGGGGCAGCACTCTTTAATCAAATCTATTAATATTTCTGCAATGAAATATATGAATGTTTACACAAAGCGAGATAGGGACTATGACTACTATAGTAGAATATGTAGACTGTATAAGCCTCACTGCATTTTTTTTTTTTTTTTTTTTTTGAGACAGGATCTCACTCTGTCACCCAGGCTGGAGTACAGTGGCACAATCTCGGCTCACTGCAACCTTCATCTCCCAGGTTCAAGCAATTCTCCTGCCTCAGCTTCCTGAGTAGCTGGGACTACAGGCATCCACCACCATGCCAGGCTAATTTTTGTATTTTTGGTAGAGATGGGGTTTCACTACACTGGCCAGGCTGGTCTCGAACTCCTGACCTTAGGTAATCCACACGCCTCGGCCTCACTACAATTTTTTTTTTTTTTTTGAGACGGAGTCTCGCTCTGTCACCCAGGCTGGAGTGCAGTGGCCAGATCTCAGCTCACTGCAAGCTCCACCTCCCGGGTTTACGCCATTCTCCTGCCTCAGCCTCTTGAGTAGCTGGGACTACAGGCGCCCGCCACCTCACCCGGCTAGTTTTTTGTATTTTTTAGTAGAGACGGGGTTTCACCGTGTTAGCCAGGATGGTTTCGATCTCCTGACCTCGTGATCCACCCGTCTCAGCCTCCCAAAGTGCTGGGATTACAGGCTTGAGCCACCGCACCCGGCCCTCACTACAATTTTTACCAGGTGTTGCATCTAAATGAGTTTTGTCTTAGAAAATTCTTTTCAAACCATTTTTGATTTTGAGATTGCAGATAAGGGATGATACACCTCTTACCTTTTCTACTTTTCTAACTGTTTCTACTTTAAATATTTTAAGCAAATTTTGTCTCCAATCTGTCTGGTCCTACATTTCCAAATATTTTCTGGACATCTTTACTAAAGGACCTATCAAATACTTTAATTTGTACCAAAGCAAATGTATTGCCTTCTAACCCACTGATCTCTTTCTTGGTTGTTACTCTCTCTAACGCTTAGCATCATCACTGACAATGGGTGCAGGCCTTCATTACCTCTCCTTTCAGTTTTGTGACTCCCTAAACTAGGCTGGATAGGCTAATTTATTCATGTACTATGTTAGACATTGGCAAATACCAATAAGGCAGGCTTAACTTCAGGTTCCCCACTTATAAGGACCTCTTCTTAGTGGAGAAGGCTAATTAAAGGATTAAATAAATTAGAGAACATTGGTACAATGGGCTATTTTGGAACCATTAAAGACAATGAGATGACTATGTCAATTGCCAAGACATATTAAGAAAAAATGCATGTTGCAGAATAGTATATTGAGGTCCTATGAACAGATAGTTCGTCTATATAGAGAAAGTCCTGGAAAGCTATATACAAAAACATGCATATTAAATTAATATTTTTGGCCGGGCGTGGTGGCTCAAGCCTGTAATCCCAGCACTTTGGGAGGCCGAGACGGGCGGATCACGAGGTCAGGAGATCGAGACCATCCTGGCTAACACGGTGAAACCCCGTCTCTACTAAAAAACACACAAAAAAACTAGCCGGGTGAGGTGGCAGGCGCCTACATGTAGTCCCAGCGACTCGGGAGGCTGAGGCAGGAGAATGGCGTGAACCCGGGAGGCGGAGCTTGCAGTGAGCTGAGATCTGGCCACTGCACTCCAGCCTGGGTGACAGAGCAAGACTCTGTCTCAAAAAAATAAATAAATTAATTAATTAATACTTTTAAAAGACAACTTCACTCTAGAAAAAACAAAAGACAACCTCAAAATTCTATAAATTTAGTAATAATACTAGTTGATCACTCAGAGTATTTAACTCACCTTATGAAGAGATGCTTTCAGAGTTGTGTTTAATTTTGTCACTTCTAGATGAAAATAAAAGTGACCATTTGAAGAACATCTATAAAATTACAACTAAAGACAACCATATTGTGGTTCATCACTGATAGCAGTGTCTCTGGAAAGACAATGTGGATTTTATTTTCTGATTTTTCTTCTTTTAGTGTTGAAATTTTTCAGAGAATATGTATTTTAATCCGAAAAGGGATTATCAAATTAAATGTGATGAGATATATGAATGAATAAATATAATGAAGAAACGAATATAACGCGAAGAGGCAGGACATGGTGGCTCACGCCTGTAATCCCAGCACTTTGGTAAGGCAAGGCGGGCAGATTGCTTGAGTTCAGGAGTTCAAGACCAGCCTGGGCAAAAATCACAAAACTCTGTCTCTACCAAAAATACAAAATATTAGCCGGGCATGGTGGAGCACACCTGTGGTCCCAGATACTTGCAGGGGCTGAAGTGAGAGGATCGCCTGACCCCAGGAGGTCAAGGCTGCAGTGAGCTGAGATCGTGTCACTGCGCTCCAGCCTGGTCAACAGAGTGAGGCTCCCGTCTTAAAAAAAAATAAGGTGGGAATACAGTACAAAGTAACTAACTCAGGCTAAGTTATGAAAATCTTAGAAAATGCTTTCCTTTGAGTGCAGCAACAGACATTCCAATTAGAGCAAACAGCAGACCCAGTGGTACCCATTTCTTAAAGGGTACAGTGTGGGAACGGCAGATTGGGTGCTGGAGAGTAGCTTCAAGGGGAAACAAGATTTGACATTGAGGTTAGATATGGAAGATAGTGAAAAGGACTGGAGATAGTCAAGTGTTTCTGGGCAACTGGGTGGCTTATGGTAGTAGCTTTAAAAGAAACAGGGCTAATCAAAACCACAGTGAGAATGCTACTTCATAGCCATTAGGGCAGTTATAATAAGAATAAGTCAGTGAAGGGCTTCAACTTGTTGGTAATATGGACCTGCTCTAGTTGGCGGGGAGCCTCTGGAAGTTGCTGATTTTTAAATAAAATACTTTTTTTTTTCTTTTGGAGTGTTTTTAGATGTGCAGAAAAGTTACAAAGATAGTACAGAGAGTTCTCATATAAGCCCTCAACCATTTTGTCTCCCTTAATATTATCTTACATTATCATGGTACATTTGTCAAAACTAAGAAACCAACACTGGTAAATTATTATTACCTGAAAGCCAGTCCTCATTCAGATTTCACTGGTTTTTCCATTAATGTGCTTTTTCTTTTCCAGGAGTCAGTACAGGATCCCACAAAACATTTAGTTGTCATGGTCTCCATAATCTCCTCACTCTGAGTTCCTCTTCTCAGTCTTCCCTTGTTTTTTGTGAACTTCACAGTTTTGAGGGATGCTGATCAGAAAGTTTGTCGAATATTCCTCAATTTGGGTTTGTCGGACATTTTCTCATGATTAGCCTGGAGGTAAAAGTTTTAGGAAAAATACCACACAGGTATTTTTATCACATTATTTTAGAGGACACATCATTGCTGATGTTAATCTCGATCACTTCATTTAAAATGTTTGCTAGGTTTTTCCACTGTAAGCTTCCCAGAAAGTTTTTCCTTTCCATACTTCTCAGGCTTTTAAGCTGTACATTATATTACAAGTGGTGTTTAATGCGATTTTTTTGGCTGGGCGATGGGAAGAGGGTGGAAAAAAGAAGGTCAGTTATATAGCTAAGGTTGTCATAATAATTCAAGTGATAGAGGACAAGCACTTGGACGTCTAGTGGCAATAGTAGATGGTAAAATGGATTGGAGATATTCAAGTGTTTCTGGGAAACTCAGTGGCTTATGGTAGCTTTAAGAGAAACAGGGTAAGACAAAACCAGTGAGATACCACTTTATACCCATTAGGAAAGTTATAATAAAAAGTCAGATAATAACAAGTGATGGTGAGGATGCAGAAAAATTAGAATCCATACACACTGCTGATAGGAATGTAAAATTGTGTGGCAACTTTGGAAAATAGGCAGTTACTCAAAAAATTGAACATATTTACTATTTGATGCAGCAATTCCACTTCTAGGTACATACTTGAGAAATAGAAACACAAGTACACATAAAAATGTATACACAAATCTTCATAATAGCATTACTCATTATAACTAAATGTCAAAAACTACCCAAATGTCCACCAATTGATGAATGAACAAAATGTGGTATATCTTATTTAGCCATAAAAAGGGTGGAAACACTAACATGCTACATTACAACACAGATGAACTTTGAAAATGCTATGCTAAGTGACAGAAACCAATCACAAAAGACCACATATTATGATTCCATTTGTATGACATGTCCAGAATGGAGACAAATCTAGAGACAAAAAGTAGATTTATAGTTGCTTAGCACTGGGGGAGTGGGTGGATGGTGGAGGGATTAGGCTATGATAGGGCAAATGGTATGAGTTTCCTTTTGGGGTGATGAAAATGTTTTTAAATTCATTATAGTGATGGTTGTACAACCCTGAAAACACTAAAAGTCATAGAATTGTACACTTGAATTTGGTAAATTGTATGGTATGTAAATTATATCTCAATGAAATTACTATAAAAAAAATCTGTAACACATGGCAGGGAACCATACTTGTTCAAACTACACTCATTCAAATTGAAGTGCTGGTGGGACATCCAGGTGTAAATGTTGAGCAGCTCAAAACTTAGGTTGGGCCTAGAGATATGGCACCACAAATCATTAGCATAAAGGAGTCACTTAACAGAAAGCAAGATAATTCATTTAGTTCAATTTACTAAACATAGTAGCTGAAGGGAAGGTTTCAAACAGGGCAACTTCAACATTTAATAGCACTGAGTTTTCAGGGGTTAACACAGAATGAGGACTGACTCTGATATGGTTTGGCTTTGTCTCCCCACTCAAATCTCATCTCAAACTGTAATCTCCACGTGTTGAGGAGAGAGGTGATTGAATCATGGGGGTGGTTTCCCCCATGCTGTTCTTGTGCTAATGAGTGAGTTCTCAAGAGATCTGATGACTTTATAAGGCAGTTTTCCCTGCTCTTGCTTGCTCTCTCTCCTGCTGCCCTGTGAAGGTGTGTGCTTCCTCTTCTGCCATGACTGTAAGTTTCCTGAGACCTATCCAGCCATGTGGTATTGTGAGTCAATTAAACCTCCCTTGTTTATAAATTATCCATTCTTGGGTAGTATGATATCTTTATAGCAGTGTGAAAATGGACTCATACAGTTAATTGGTACCAGAAGTGTGGGGTACTACTATAAAGATATAGAAAATACGGAAGTGACTTTGGAACTGGGTAATGGGCAGAGGGTGAAATAGTTTGGAGGGCTCAGAAGAAGACAGGAAGATGTGGAAATGTTTAGAACTTCCTAGAGACTTGTTGAATGGTTTTAAACAAAATGCTGATAGTGATATGGACAATGAAGTCCAGGCTGAGGTGGTCTCAGATGGAGATGAGGAACTTATTGGGAACTGGAGCAAAGGTCAGTCTTACTATGCTTTAGCAAAGAGACTGGCAGCATCTTGCCGCTGCCTTAGAAATCTGTGGAACTTTGAACTTGAGAGAGAGAATCTGAAATTGGAACTTATGTTTAAAAGGGAAGCAGAGCATAAGGTTTGGAAAACCTGCAACGTGACTAAGAGATAGAAAAGAAAACCCATTTTCTGGGAAGAAATTCTAGCCAGCTGCAGAAATTTGCATAAAGTAATGAGGAGCCAAATGTTAATTGCCAAAACAATGGGGAAAATGTCTCCAGGGCATATCGGAGATCTTGGTGGCAGCTCCTCCCATCACAGGCCTGGAGGCCTAAGAGGAAAAAAAATGGCTTCCTGTGCAGGGCCAGGTGCCCGCTGCTGTGTGCGGCCTCGGAACTTGGTGCCCTGCATCCCAGATTTTCCAGCTCCAGACGTGGCTAAAAAGGGCCAAGGTATAGCTTGGGCTGTTGCTTCCAAGGGTGCAAGCCCCAAGCCTTGGCAGCTTCCACGTGGTGTTGGGCCTGCAGTGCACAGAATTCAAGAGTGGAGGTTTGGGAACTTCCACCTAGATTTCACAGGATGTATGGCAATACCTGGATGTCCATGCAGAAGTCTGTTGCAGGGGCAGAGCCCTCATGGAGAACCTCTGCTAGGGTGTTGCATTAGGGAAATGTGGGATTGGAGCCCCCACAAAGAGTACCCACTGGGGCACTGCCTAATGGAGCTGTGAGATGAGGGCTACCATCCTCCAGAACCCAGAATGGTAGCTCCACTGAGAGCTTGCACCTTGTGCCTGGAAAAGCCAAGGACACTCAGTGCCAGCCCATGAAGAAGCTGCAGAAGGCCATGAGAGCCCACCCCTTGCATCAGCATGCCCGTGATGTGAGACATTAAGTCAAAGGAGATTATTTTGGAGGTTTAATATTTAATGACTGCCCCACTGGATTTTCGACTTGCATGGGACCTGTAGCCCCTTTGTTTTGGTCAATTTCTCCCATTTGGAACGGGAGCATTTATCCGATGCCTGTACCACCATTGTATTTACAAAGTAACTAACTTGCTTTTGATTGTACAGGCTCATAGGTGGAAGGGACTTGCACTTGCCTTATCTCAGATAAGACTTTGGACTGTGGACTTTTGAGTTAATGCTGAAATGAGTTAAGGCATGGGGGGGCTCTTGGGAGGGAAGGCATGATTGGCTTTGAAATGTGAAAAGACATGAGATTTGAGAGGGGCCAGGGGCAGAATGATATGGCTTGCTGTGTATCCCCAACCATATCTCATCTTGAATTGTAGTACCCGTTATCTCCATTTGTCAAGGGAGAGACCAGGTGGAGGTAACTAACTACATCATAGAGTGGTTCTCCCATTCTGTTCTCATGATAGTGAGTGAGTTCACAATGAGATCTGCTGGCCTTTTTTTTTTTTTTTTTTTTGTGACGGATTCTTGCTCTGTCAGTAAGCAGGATCTCAGCTTACTGTAATCTCTGCCTCCTGGGTTCAAGCAATTCTCTTGCCTCAGCCTCCGGAGTAGCTGGGACTACAGACATGCACCACCATGCCCAGCTTTTTGTAATTTTGTAGAGATGGGGCTTTGCCATGTTGGGCAGGCTGTTCTCGAACATCTGACCATAAATGATCCGCCCACCTCGGCCTCCCAAAGTGCTGGGATTACAGGTGTGAGCCACTGTGCTCAGCTGATCTGATGGTTTTATAAGGCAGTTTTCCCTGCTCTTGCTCTCTCTGTCTCTCTCTCTCTCTGCCTTGTGAAGGTGCCTGCTTCCCCCTCCACCATGATTGTAAGTTTCCTGAGGCCTCCCCAGTCATGTGGAATTGTGAGTCAATTATGCCTCCTTTGTTCATAAATTACCCGTTCTCGGGGAGTATCTTTATAGCAGTGTGAAAATGGACTAATGCAGACTCCTTTGGCATTCAAGACAACATTGTTAATGAGACTGGCTGATGTCTCTCCTCATTTTCAACTAGTCTCTGAATGGGAATACGTTCGAGAAATGAACCATTAGACAATTTCATTACTGTGTGAACTTCACAGAGCATACTTACGCAAACTTAGATAATACATCCTATTGCTCCTAGGCTACAAACCTATACAGCATGTTGTTGTACTGAAGACTTTGTACAGTTTTAATAGAATGGTCAGTATTTGTATATTTAACTGTAGAAAAGATACAGTAAAAATATGGTATAGCCCAGGCACAGTGGCTCATGCCTGTAATCCTGGCATATTGGGAGGCCGAGGTGGGCAGATCACTTGAGGTCAGGTGTTTGATACCAGCTTGGCCAACATGATGAAACCCCATCTCTACTAAAAATACAAAAATTAGCCAGGCTCAATGGTGGACAACTGTAATCCCAGCTACTCAGGAGGCTGAGGCAAGAGAATCTCTTGAACCTGGGAGGCAGAGTTTGCAATGAGCCAAGATCATGCCACTGTACTCCAGTCTGGGTGACAGAGCAAGGCTTCATCTCAAAAAACAAATTACAGTACAGAAGATTAAAAAATGAGTTCCAGACCAGACCAGGTAACATAGTGAGATCCCATCTCTACCAAAAAACACAAAAATTATGTATATCCAAAAATATGTATGGATGTAATGGTGTGTACCTGTAGTCCTAGCTTCTTAGGAGGCTGAGGTGGGAGGCGCACTCCTGCCTGAGTAACAGAGCAAGGCCCTGTATTTAAAAGAAAAAAAAAAGATACACCTGTGTAGGGCACTGACCATAAACTGTGCTTGCACACTGAAAGCTGCTTCCAGGTGTGAGTGAGTGGTGAGTAATGTGAGGACCTAGGACATTATTGAACCCTACTGTAGACTTTACATACTTAGGTCACAATAAATTTATAAAAATATATTTTTCTTTCTTCAATAATAAATTAACCCTCGCTTATTGTAGCTTTTTTACTTTATGCACTTTTAAATTTTTTTAAACTTTTATTTTTTGGATGGGGTCTTGCTGTGTCGTGCAGGCTGAAGTACACAGCAGCATGACTATTGCTCACTGCAGCTTCAAACTCCTGGGTTCGAGCTATCCTGCCACTTTAGCCTCCCAAGTAGCTGGGGCTATAGGCATGCACCACTACACATAGAACATAGAAAAGGTATGGTAGGCCAGGTGCAGTGGCTCATGCCTGTAATCCCGGCACTTTGGGAGGCCAAGGCAGGCAGATCATGAGGTCAAGAGATCGAGACCATCCTGGCCAACCAACATGGTGAAACCCTGTGTCTACTAAAAATATAAAAATTAGCTGGGCATAGTGACACATGCCTATAGTCCCAGCTACTCAGGAGACTGAGGCAGGAGAATCACTTGAACCCGGGAGGCAGAGGTTGCAGTGAGCTGAGATCGTGCCATTGCACTCCAGCCCAGGCGACAGAGCAAGACTCCATCTCAAAAAAATAAGTAAATAAATAAAAAAGGTAAATTTTCTAAAAACATTTTCACTCTTTTTGAATAACACTTAGCTTAAAACACACTGTACAGCTGAACAAAAACATTTTTCTTTGTATTCTTATGAACTTTTTCCTATTTTCAAAATTAAATTTTCTTTTTACATTTTAACTATTTTGTTAAAAACTAAAACACAAGCACACATACTAGCCTAGGCCTACACAGGGTCAGGATCATCAATATCACTGTCTTCTACCTCCGTATCTTGTCCCAGTGGAAGTTCTTCAACGGTCATAACATGCAAGGAACTGTCATCTCCTATAATAAGGCCTTCTTTGGGAAGACCTCCTGAAGGACTCTCCTGAGGCTGTTTACAGTTACCTTTTTTCCTGTAAGTAGGGGTATAGTTTAAAATAATGATAAATAGTAAACACATAGCCAGTAACATGGTATTTTATCAAGTACTATGTACCATACATAATTCTATGTGTAATACTTTTATATGCAGCTTACTGTGCTGCTTGTTTACACCAGCATCACCACAAACATGTGAGTAATGCATTGTGCTAAGATGTTATCATGCCTTTGTCTTTAGGCGACAGGAATTTTTCAGTTCCATTATGATCTTATGGGACCACCATCATATATACAGTCTGTCATTGACCAAAGTCATTATACAGCGTATAACTGTACAACTGTCTTCATTTCACGTAATAGAATGTTTTACCGTAAGTGGTTATGGCAATGTCCTCAAGTAATGAGCAGAGTATTTTTGGATGACAGAAGTTGAAATTTAAGATTATACTAATTAAAACTAAATATTTTTGGTATATAGTAATCTATATGGATTTAGAATTATTTTATTTCCTTATTCAAGACAATAGGTCAAGCCATAAAACCTAACTGGCCACACAGGTCATCAGTTATTCTATACTACCTTATTCCAAACCTGCCACATCTTCCCTGCTCACCTCCAACATGGTGCTAGAGAGAAATCCCATACTAAAGATAATGACAGTTGAAAAGAAGAAAAAAAGAAGAATAAAAAAGTCAAATGATTCCATCAACTCTTTCAATGACCATATATTCCTCGTTTGGAATTTAGTAAATGCTGTTTTAAAACCCAGGAAGGCTGGGCATGTAATCCCAACACTTTGGGAGGCTAAGGCTGTAGGATTGCTTGAGGCTAGGCATTTGAGTCCAGCCTGGAAAACATAGTGAGACCTCATCTCTAGACAGAAATTTAGGAAAACCTAGCTGTGTGTGGTAGTGCCCACCTGCAGTATGAGCTACTCGGGAGGCTGAGCCCAGAAGTTCAAGGCTGTAGTTAGCCATGATTGCACCACTGTATTGCAGCCTGGGCAACAGAGTGAGATCCTGTTTCTACAAAAACAAAACCAAACCAAGCCTGTAATCACAAATTACAGAAGATGTAAGATTCTGTTTGCCTTTTCTTGAGATGGAGTTTCGCTCTTGTTGCCCAGGTTGGAGTGCGATGGCGCGATCTCGGCTCACTGCAACCTCCGCCTCCTGGGTTCAAGCGATTCTCCTGGCTCAGTCTCCTGAGTAGCTAAGATTACAGGTGCCTGCCGCCATGCCTGGCTAATAGAGATGGGGTTTCATTATATTGGTGAGGCTGGTCTAGAAATCCTGACCTTAAGTGATCCACCCGCCTCGGCTTTGCAAAGTACTGGGATTACAGGAGTAAGCTACCGCGCCCAGTCTGTTTGCCTTTTTAATGTCATCTAATTCATTTTATAAGTAGAGTATCAAGGAAATAATTATCATGGTATAGTCTGGGAAAAGGTGAGTAAATCCCTAACACTGCTGGCCCAAAGTTTTATTTGGTAGGTCTAAATCTTGACCTTACAGCTATGAAATTTCAAGTTTGTGCTTGAATACATGACTAAAACAATGAAAATGAAAAGACCAATAGTATGTACCATTTTAGTTTTTATTAATAAAATAGAAACCTAAACTCAGACAACTGCTTTATTCTTGCATCTAATCTGACCATATATTGGAGTAGCAATTCTTTATAAAAGGACTTAGGTGAGAACTGTCAATATATCAGTTCCATCAAAAACTCTAGGTTGGAATATCTTAAGAAGAGTAAATTAAATATGAGAAAGCACAGAAATCTCTCCCTCAAACAAGAGGGGCTTCCTTTAATAGTCTTTAATATAGCTCATTTGCAATTGTATGAAAATCCATCACGATCAATCATGCTGCACAATCCCTAAAGGATAAAACTGAGGGAACTCATGGATAATTTTCACAGCTTCATTGTAAAGTCCAAGATCTGAAAGAAACATTTAAGCAAACATTTAATCTACAGTGGAAAGTTGTAACATCAATTATTATCTAAGAAATTTTTACCTATTTCCTTTTTCTCATCCTTTTGGAAGTGAATTTCTAGAAATGGAGATACGGATTATGGATTCTTGTATTTAACTGTGACGCCAAAAAAAAAAAAAAGACATGGGAGTACCAACCATTTTGATGTTCATTATACAGGCAGTTTCTGCCTGGTAGTGTTTGGGTGTTATGCATTATTCAGTTCCTTCAATTTATATATTACAACAAAAAAACTAATGCTATTTTTGTTATATTAAAAAAATTATCTTTCGACAAATATTAATTAATCTTTATTGAGTTTCCTACATATATAAGCACTACTTAGAAGCAGGTCAAAACAAAATGTACTTCCATTTTCCTTTAGGATCACAAAATTCTATAGAAAAGGAAAATATAGCAGTACTAAATCTCTAGACCAATATATATCAAATTAAAAATAAAAAGTTTTCCTGCTAATTACATAAAACCAGTCAATACTAGAATGCTTTATTTACCAAAAGGATGGTTATCTTCTTTAAACTGGACATAAGATGTACACAAGATGGTGGCCTTGGCGGTTACTTTTCCAACCACTTCCATAATTCCAGAGATTTCTTCATCAAGCTAAGGCACAGAACAAGAAGTCAATTTGGTGTTATCACATTTTCAGTTGACAATTAATTTGGAAAACTGTTATACAGGTTACTAACCTTTCACTTCAAGTAACAAAGTAATTTTAAAAATTACCAATGCAAAAGTTAAAATGTAACTTGTTAACAAATGTTTTGAGTACTTAACTGTCAGCATGTTAACATTCCTGTTACATTTACTAGTAGCTTCAAGTCCAAAGCTACAATTCAAGTTAAAGCCAAAACCACTATTGAAAATGTCCAGCATTTCTATAAGCAGTAATTTCCTGAGAGGAATCTTCTATAATCTGTATTTCACAATGTGTTCTGTACACATTAACCAAACAGCATATGGATTTGTCTTCACAAAATGCCAAAACAAGTTTTAAGTATGTTAAACATAAAATGCAAAAATAAATAAGTAAAAGCTGAAATATATGAACAAAAATAGAAAATAAAATAAAATTTAAAACTCTTGAGGGGCTGGTCGAGGCAGGAGGACTGCCTGAGACCAAGAGTTCAAGACCAGCCTGAGCAACATAGGAAGACTATCTCTACGAAAAACAAAACAAAACAAAAATTAGCCAGGCATGGTTGAGCATGCCTGTAGTCCCAGCTACTGGGGAGGCTGAGATGGGAGCAACTTGATCTCGGAAGGCTAAGGCTGCAGTGAGCCACGACGGTGGCACTGCATTCCACCCGGGGCAACAAAGTGAGACCCTGTCTCAAAATAAAAAACAAAAACAAAACAAAAAACCTCTTGAGGAAGAAAAAAGCAATTTAAATTTTTCTTATGTGATTTTATAGTCTTTCATAAGGAATGCGAATTGTTAGCCAGCATTTATGGGATACGTTCAAAAATCATGAAGCCCAAAAAATCATTGGTTAAAAATGTAAAAGGAAATATAATGAGAGAATAGTACAAGAATTTAATTTTAGAGCCAGGGACGTTTTACCAGTTCATCCTTTTTAAATTCATTCCAAAAAATTAGAAACATCGGCAACAAACCAAATCCAGATGAAGAATTAACTATAATATATGAGACTTATTAATATTTAAACATACGGGTTCCATCAACTCGATGGTTCCATTTTTTCCTTCTCCATCTGAAAGAATAAACATTTTTCCAGTGGGATGAATCTAAAAACGAAACATAAGATTAAAATCTCACTGAAACAACAACAAAAAAGTTTGACAAACGATGAGTACATTGATCCTTAATTGAGCACAAATCAACTGTTTTTTGAACAGTTTATTCGTTCTATTCATTCAGTTTATTCAACTTATTAGTTCAAATTATAATCTTACGCTACCAAATCTCTTCATGGAACACAGTTCATTTTGAATCTCAGATAAACAAGGATTTTTTTTTGTAGTGTATAAGTAGGTTCTGTATTTGCTAAATATGGCAACCCTATTCTAATAACAAATCAAAGGAAGCCCACCCTATCGAAAAGTGAAAGCTGCTGGCACTCATGATTTAGACAGCACATATCCCATGGAGGGCATGTTTTAAAAATCAGGCATGATGAAGTAAAAGGAGAACTGGTTGCTAGAATATCTGTGTCCTACTCCTGGGAAGCAGCTGTAAAGAGCGCTGTCACATCGCGTTTGAACGCCACCTTTGCCACTTGCTGAGTTTCTGAGCATTTTAGTCAACCACCTACCACTCATACTCAGTTTCCCTACTTGGCAAGTCAGAGCAACACTCATTTAAGGAAAAGGATGTGTGGATGAAATGAGCTACTAAGTAAGTCTTTATATAATAGTTTTCTTTTCCTCAGCTTTTCAGGTCACTGATTCCAAGACTTTGGGCCTGTTTCTCGCCTGTAGAATGAGGGAACTTCACTTTAATAGTGGGGTTAGATAACTCACTACTCCGGGACCCAAAGCGGACAATCAAGGCATGTTTTACAGAGAAGCGATTACAGGAAACGAGGTTTGCAAAAAGAAGTAATTTCAGAAGAGAAGGAAACCAGCAGATTAGTTTTGTCGGCGTCCGTCACGTCTGAGTAAACTAAGAAATCTGAAGGTAGATGTGGGAGTCGTGTTTATAATTTCCCTTATGTAAGCACGGCCAGAACGGAGGCGACGGGCACTGGAATTTAGAACGCAGAGCATCTGAAAACACCTTGTTTCCGTGTCATAAAAGAGGCACCAAAATGGGGCTACAACGGCTAAAGAATTTCCAAAAAGTCTCCTTTTGCAAAACAAAGGATTCGGGAGCGCAGTGATCTGAGGCTTTCCGTTCTTTTTCATCCGCCGTTATCCACTCAGAATCCGCCACCCAGGCGGTCATGGGGTCCCTCCCTCCAGCTACGGACAGGGGACCCCATGACTGCGAACCCGCATACCTTTTCCAGCCTCCCTACGAAGCAGACAGGCTTGTCGATGAACTGAGCTAGCATGCCGGCGTTGATGCGCGACCTCGGTAACTCCATCATGTCCACCATGATTATGGTCCAAGACTGCAGCTGGCGGGAAACCCACGGACTACTGAAACTGCGCGCCCCGCGAGTGTCTATGGGGCAGATTCCCCGGCACCAATCAGCGAAGACTAGCGCTCCAGCTTCGCCAATTAAATGCGCGGAAACCTAAATTGCAATCGCGCTGTCTCTGAAAGGGGTGGAGAAGGGGCGGGATGCGTCCGGAAGTGGAGATTGGCTGCTTAGTGACGCACGGCGTCCTGGAAGTTGCCTGATACAGGGCGAGAGGCAGTGGAGGCGGGGCTTGGATGGGGGCGGAACCTGAGGCTACCCTTCTGCAATCACAGGATTCTCGGCGGTGACTTGACCCCGGAAGTGGGGTTTGGAGCTCCGGTGCCGGTGCGGCGGGGGACTGCGGCGCGAGCCTCAGGTACCTCTTCTCGCGGGAGGCGCCGCAGCCTTACTATTTCCTCATTCTTCCCGCGGACAGAGTCAAAAGAGCTAGGCGGGATTTCGGTACCAGCTGCTGCCGCGGTGCTGTGGGTGCTGCGTACCAGCTGTTACTGTTGCCCAGCCTTCCCTCTTCCCGGTTCTGCGTGGGAGGCGCAGGAGTTTTGCTGAATGATGTGTGGTGTGGCGTCGGGGTTGTGATACCCGCCCCCTTGGAGATGGGGAGAGGGGTCATCAGTGATCTTGATCACTTTCTTCAGGCTTTTGTCACTTGTTGGCTGAGGGTCGATTTACTCCCTTCGCTGCGTCACTCTACTTTCTCCAGTTTCTCCACCTGTAAGAAGACAGAGTGACTCGATTACTTCTAAGACGTTTTTTAGCCCAACCTGGCCACACTGCGTAGGTGCCGGTTCTCTCACCCCGCTACCTCCTCCGCGTTGGCAGCCAATAGAAGCACTTAAGGATGGGTAACAGAGAGGGACCACTGGCCACTACCAGAGGAGACAAGCTTAAATCGTTGTTAGACCCCGAGTTAGCGTTCCCCGAGCTAGGGTTCCCCCTTCTGAGGCGTATTTTCCCCATCCGCAAAACGAAGGGTTAGGCGGAATGATTTGCAAGGTACCAGTTGACTCTAACTTTTGGTGGTATGTTTGACTCAACAGTTTAAACCCCCTCAGCAGTCTTTCTACTCTGGAGGGCGATCTGGAGGTCTGGAAGATAACCGATTCCTGGGAGATTGGGGGTAGTCTCCAATCTGTCCCTGGCTCATCTTGAGACCCGAAGCCGGCGGCCTTGCCAGGAATATTCTAGAATGAATACGCATAAAAATACCTTCAAACGGTACTGTGGAAATGGGACAGAAGTTTTAATTGGGTATTATAACTTTGTGGAAACTGAGTGTGAATTTGCCCAAAGCTACAGAATTGTCATCGTTCAAATTCCCTTAAGCAAAAAAGATCCGATTTGAGACTTGACGTGGCAATTTAAGATTGGAATCTCATGTAGGATAATTAAATGATAGTCTCCCTTAGTGTTTACTTAGCACTTAATAGGTTTGTCTTAGTTTTACTAACAGGAGTTTAAAGGATTTCATTAAACAGATGTAGAATGTGTGTCAGTGGTGTATAAAAAAGTTGTGGTTGTATTGGTACAAGTCAATAAAGTCCATTTTGTATTAAAGCTTTAAGTCTTTTGTACTTTAGCATTGTTTTGCAAAGCAAGTTGATGTGCATTATATAGGGGAGAGTACACACATGAATGTCTTTAATAGCATTTTTTTTTTTTGAGGCAAGATCTTGCTCTGTCACCCAGACTGGAGTGCAGTGGCATGCTCATAGCTCACTGTAGCCTTTAACTCCTAGGCTTAAGCGATCCTCTCACCTCAGCCTGCAAGTAGCTGGGACTATAAGCACATACCACCACACCCAGCTAATAAAAAAAAAAGTATATATATATGTATATATATATACTTTTTTTTTTTTTTGTACAGATGAGGCCTCGCCATGTTGACCAGGCTTATCTCAAACTCCTGGGCTCAAGCGATCCCTCCCTCCCCGCTCTCTCTCCCGAAGTACTGGAATTACAGGTGTGAGCCTTGGTACGCACCCTGTAATAGCGATTTTTTTTTTTTTTAAAAGAGCAGTCCTGAGAGTACCAGATGTTAATGTCATTGTTTACTTGCAGTGAAAACGACCACTTTTAAGCAAAGGCTTTCTTTTAAAACAGGGAGATGAGCAAGAAGATAATTTTAAAAAGCTTTTTTGCATATTTTTGAGTCACTTAAAATATTATGAAATATATGATGTACAGAGAAAAGTATAGCTAGCCGATTTGCATAGTTTTGAGAGAAATGAAATGAATCCATGGGGCCTGTCATTCAGCTGAGGAAATGGAACTTTACCAGTTACCAGTAAATTTTACCAGTTTGCACTTCCCCAGTTAAGCCCTCCTTGCTACAGCCTTAAGTAAACACTATCTTGAAATTTGTGTTAAGCTTCCTAAGCCTTTCTACATAGTTTTATTACACATGCAGGCATTTCTAAATGGCATGTTGTTTACTATTGCCGATATTTGACTTGATATAAATAGAAATGTATATATCTTCTGACTTGTTTCTTTTGTTTGTTTTTGAGATTCATCTATATTGACGAATGTATGTAGAGCATATTTTTATTTTGTTACAGGTAGGCATGAACGGGGCAGTAGTGGGCTGACCCCCAACCCACTAGAAATGTCGGGTGATGGTTTGGCAATTATCGAATTTGCTTCTCTAAAAATGACAATTCGGCAGCGCCAGGGAGAGGCCATTTCCTGATGGTCCATATCTGTTATCAAAATGTTAATTTAATGTAGACCCGAGGGAGAAACAGCTTCCTGGGCATGCATATTAAGAGACAAAGATGGTAAAGTATGAAAGTATGATCTTCCAGGTACACTCCACCGGAAAAAGGAAGAAAGCCTCAGATGGGCATGCATGTAACTTCCTAAAAACACTTCCCGAGGCTAAGGAGGGCTCCGAGCCTGCGGGCAGCCTATCCTAAGGGAATAATCATGGGAAAGAGACAAGCTTATAAAAGTCCTAGCATCAGGCCCGGCGCAGTGGCTCACAGCTGTAATCCCAGCACTTTGGGAGGCCGAGGCGGGTGGATCACCTCAGATCATAAGTTCAAGACCAACCTGGTCAACATGGTGAAACCCTGTCTCTACTAAATACACAAAAAATTAGCCAGGCGTGGTGGCGGGCGCCTGTAGTCCCAGCTACTCCGGAGGCCGAGGCAGGAGAATGGCGTGAACCTGGGAGGCAGAACTTGCAGTGAGCCAAGATCAAGCCACTGCACTCCAGCCTGGGCCACAGAGCGAGACTCCGTCTCAAAAAAAAAAAAAAAAAAAAAAAGTCAGGATCAACTGTTAAGTGGGATACTTGACCTTCTCTCTTTAACCTTCACATTCCTGCTTATGTTTCTAACAAGGACACCTTTTTTTCTTTCCTGTTTTAATGCCTTTTTAAGTAAACGTCCATTCCTGCTCTGGAACTTGCCAGAGTCTCTTTTTCTGCTTTATGCCCCTCAGTCAAATTTTTCTTCTGAGGAGGCAAGGACTGAAGTTGCTACTGACCCCTAAGGGTAGGCTATCGGTAAGTTGGGGTAACTTGGATCTCTGCCACTAGAATTAAAAAAATGATTTCCCCAAATGGTGGTACCAGTTTACCCTCTTACCTGGAGTATAAGAGAGTTACAGTTATTGTATATTCTTGGCAACCCTTGAAGTTTTTTCCCCCAATTTGATGGATATGAGATTTTTTTTTTCATGACTCTAATTTGCATTCCCTGATTACTGATAAGGTTGAACATCTTTTCAGATTTTTATTGGCTATTTATGTTTGTCTTTTATTCCTTGATTTTTCTTTTTCTTACTGACTTTTAACAGCTTTGTATGAGTGGGATATTGTAATGGTACAAGTGTTGTCCGTTTTTGACCTGTCTTTCCATTTCCTTCCTTCATTCTGTCCTTTTTTTTTTTTTTTTTTAAAGTAGAAAGACCTCTTTTAATACAGTTAAACCTTTTCCCCCTTAAGTTTAATGTAGGAGAAAAGTCCATTAAAATCTCACTTACGAATTCTTTCATACATACTCTTAAAGGTATTCTATTTTTCCTAAAATTTTTAGAGTTTTGCCTTTCATATTTAATAGTCCGTCATCTAGAATTCACTTTTCATGTATTTTGTCAGATAGGTTTCCAATCTCTTTGTTTTGTTTTAATTTCAATTGTCCTAATGTGATTTGACTGTATCACCTTTTTGCCACTGACCTTCACTTGTCACCTTAAGTTTACAGATATGTGTGGAGTCAATTCTGTTCTATGGATCTATTTTTCTATCCATGAACCACAACCTATTTTCTTTAATAGTGTATCCTTATCATAACTTTTGATGTCTGGGGCTGTGTTCCCAGGAATGTCTTGGTTATTTTTATCTCTTTGCTGTTCCATATAGAATGTAGCTTACGAATTTCCATGAAAAACTGTGTGGGAATTTGGATCAAAATTGCATTGAATCCTTGGATGTATTTCAGGAAAAGTAACAGCTGAATGTCAACTCTTACTATTCTTGAGCCATTTTGGTTCCTTAAAATCTTTCCCAAAAGTCTCATACTTTTCTGCATAAAAATTTTGACTTTTAGCTTAGATTTATTCCTAGATACCTTTTTTTGTTGCTATTATGAATGGTATCATTTTTTAAATTATTTTAACTGATTGTTTTAGTATATAGAAATGCCATTTTAAGAATTTTCTATCAGTTTTTTTGGAATTTTCTATTCATATTTGAATAATTACAGTTTTGTTTCTTAAGCATTCTTACATATTTTATGTATTTTTCTTACCTTTTGCCTAGGATAGAGCCTTCAGTACCATTTTGAATAGAAAGTGTTTAAGCCAAGATGGAGTCTGGCTGCATAAAGAAAAGTATCTTCAATGCACAAATGCTTATTCTTACATGTGAAAGAAGTCCACAGCTGTGCAACTTAGTACTTATGTGGTATTGCCACTGAGACTCAGGGCCCCAGGTTCGTTCTGTCTTTCTGTACTTCTACGTTCAATATCTAGTTCCATATTTATGGTTACCTCATAGGCCAGGTAAGTGATAGAGATTCAGCTATCAAGTAAATCCACATTTCATGTGGCAGAGAAGTGGACAGGCAAGAGTATACCTCCATGAGATTCAGCTTCCTTTAAGGAGCATTTCACGAAGTCCTTCCCAACTTGAATTTCTGTTTATTAGGTTAAGGAATTTTCCTTCTATTCCTAGTTTGATAAGCGTTTTAATTGAATGGTTATGGAATTTGGTCAAATGCATTTTTTTTGCCTTAATTGAGATGATTGAAATGAGTATGTATTTTTCAGTGTTTGAACCAAGCTCGTATTCCTGGAAGTTTGATTATGATATATTGTCTTTTATTATATATTCCTGAATTTGATTTGCTGTTGTGTTTGTTTAGGATTTTTTTTAATCCATGTTCATGAGTGAGATTGGTCTGTAGTTTTCCTTTTTTGTATATTCCTTGTCAAAATTTGACATTATGGTTATGAGACAGGAGAATTCCCTGGACCCCTTTGTGGGACTTGCAACCAGAGTGTGACTTGTTTGCTGCCATGAACTAAAATCGCTTCCGGGAGGGGGAGTATGCAAGTGAGCAGGTGCAGGAGCTGGGGTGAGTGATTTTGGCCTCCGGCCCCACAGCAGTGTCTAGGGACGTTACAGTGCTCTTTTAGCCCTGCCGTCTGGGAATGGCTTAAGTGTTAAATAGCTCAGTGGAGTCAGTGTGACAGCCTTTTTGGGTTTCACCCAGTGCATCCTGAATTCTTGTCTATCGTCCAGAAGAAATCAGGTCACATGGACTTGAAAGACGGTGAATGTGGGCATTTTATTGAGTGATGGAGGTGGCTTTCAGTGGGATGGTGATATGGTTTGGCTGTGTCCCCACTCAAATCTCATCCTGAATTGTAGCTCCCATAATTCAAGTGTTACGGGAGGGACTTGATGAGAGAGAACTGAATCATGGGGACAGTTTCCCCCATACTGTTCTTATGGTAGTGCGTAAGTCTCATGAGATCTAATGGTTTTATAAGGGGAAACCCCTTTCACTTGATTTTTTTTTTTATTCTCTCTTGTCTAACACCATGTAAGACGTACCTTTTGCTTTCTGTCATGATTGTGAGGCCTCCCCAGCCACGTGGAACTATGAGTACATTAAACCCCTTTTTCTTTGTAAATTACCTTGTAAATTACCCTGTCTCCGGTATGTCTTTACCAGCAGTATGAAAATGAACTAATATGGATGGGG